AAAAATCCGAAATAAAGTAAAAGTTGTAAGTTTCTTTCTTACGTGTGTAAGAAGAGTGTTGTTTACGGGCTCGATTATCAGTGCAATCGGAGGAAGATTGGATCATTATAAGAAATGGAAGCCGATCAGTTTTCCTTTGGGAGTGGAATACAAGCTCTGCCTCGTCACCCATAATATCGTCTTACACGGTTCCCGTATCTCGTTAGTCTGGACATCGTTGTCACAAAGTTTACGGTTTTCGAGAGACAGAAAGAGAACAAGAAGGAGAAGGAGACGCCATATGACATTACTGAAAGCGTCGTCGTGGATAAAGCAAGGAGTTGGACTGAGAGAAAGAGAGAGAGAGAGAGAGAGAGAGAGAGAGAGAGAGAGAGAGAGAGAGTGAGGAGAACGATGATTTCCCAGGAGACTGTGTCTACTCCACCTCCTTTTTCTCAAACCCAACCCATCTCACGAGTTCTCTATTTTCCTACCTAGCCATATAGCCAACATCGTCGTTAGAGTTTCTCTCGCGACACAATCCTCCATTGAACTTGAGAAACCCTTCAACCCTGTTCCACGAAACATGCTGTATACTTCATTAGCAGTAGCATATCATTTCTTTATTAGATTAACAAATTCGAATATCAAACGTTTCAGTCCAAGATAACTCTCATGATATAACGTTAATTATTCAAAGTTGTTGATCATGTCATATCTTCTAACTTATCACTGAAAAAACCTAGGTTCAAATTGAGTAGCGTAGCAACAAAAATGAACCTCGTAGGTGGCGCCACGTTATATGGCGTTTAACATATGGGCTTATTTTGAGTTGCAACAAAAATGAGTCCAGGTTTTTTGTGTGATAAGAAACAAACAACTTTACTTTACAAACAACAGTACGTGACTCTTAGATCTTCATTGTTTACTTTTTAATCACATTTTTTTCTAAAGTATAAAAAAATCAATCTAATTTTTTATAAGTAATATGACAAAAACTAAAATATGACAAGAAAGATCAGTAAAGTACAAAAAAAAAAATGTTTAATATTTAAATCATTTATTATTATAAAACACTAAAAAATTATCAGTTAAGACGGTTATTCCAATTCTCAATTTTTAACCAATGTTAAAGTGTTTTATAGTAATTAACTAGAAAATGATATCCCGATGAGGAACTATATATAGTTCGAAACTAGTTGAAATTTTAAATAAATTTCTACGCCTTCTCAAGAATCTACAAAAAAACAAAAAAATATTCTATTTATTATTTTTATGCAAATTACAAAATTTTTTATTTCCAAATATAAATTTTTTAAATAATTTCATAATCAAACTTTAAAAAATTTACTTATAAAGCCTAAAAAATTAATTATTATTGTTTATATTTATTTTTAGAAATTTGAATATAATTCTTCGCAAGAATTCAATTATTTTTATATAAATAATTAACATATATATATTCTTTGGAAAAATTCAATTATTTTTAACAAAATTTCTCCTAGAATTTCAATTATTTTTAATAAATAAATGAATTCATTTTAAATGAATTCCACGAAAAATGTAATTATTTTCAAACATTTTTTACAAGAATCAATAATTCAAAAATTACATTTCACAAATAATGAAATTCTTCGCTAAAATTCAAATATTTTTAAAATCTACTATTTTTATAAAATTTCTCAAAAGAATTCAATTATTAAAAAAAAAAATGTAATAAAATTCGTTGCAAGATTACAATTATTTTCATAAATAATAAAATTCTTCACTGGATTTCAATTATTTAAAAGAACTTGTAATAAAATTCGTTTAAAAAATTTAATTATTTTCATAAATAATAATAATATTCACAGGATTTTAATTACTCAAAAAAAAAAAATGTAATAAAAATTCATTGCAAGACTTCAATTATTGAAGAAATAACAGGATTATACTGGATCAAAAATCAGATTTATTTTTTCAATAACAAATCATACGTTTCGACACAAAACGTTGGTGTCCTCTTCAGTGCTATTTATAAAAAAAATTTGTAAATAATTAAATTCCTGTAAAATTTTTATAATTTGTTAAAAAATTAAATGTTTGCGTAGAATTTTATCAAAATTTTTGTTAAATAATTGAATTCTTTTGGAAAATTTGATTAAAATAGTAAATATTGAAAATCATTGAATTCCGAACAATTTTTGGAAATAATTTAAATTTGGCCAAGAATTATATTAAAATTTATGAAAATAATTGAATTATTGAGGAGAGGAATTTTATTATTTATTAAGATAATTGAAATTTTTAAGTGAAAAATTTAAAAAAATTAAAATTTTAATAAATTCTTCGCGGAACAATTAAATTATTTTTATAAATAATGAAATTCTTCTCAGGAATTCAATTATTTTCAATTACAATTTTAATAAAATTCATCTTCATAAAATTCAATTATGCTTTTAAAGTTTGCAATTAAAATTATTAAAGAAACTTCATTATTTTAAGAAAGTTCAAAGAAATTTCTCAAAAGAATTTAATTAGGATTTTTTTAAATTTTAATAAAATTTAGAATTTAGAATTCAAAATAGGTATTTAAAAAGAAAAATTTTTTTTAAAAAAGTTAGGAAACAAAAAAGCAATTAACAAATAACTTCAAACTACTAACATATTACACCGGAATACAAGGATTATTAATATGGATTTAAAAAAATTTTTAATTTAATTTGTATAACTTAAAGTTTTATTTGTAATTTAAATATAAATTGTACTTTTAATTATGATTGTACATTTAGAAATTTATAAACAAATTTATAAACTAATTATTTCTGAACTAAAAGAACAAAAAAATAAATTTTAATAATAAATGAGGAATTTATGAAATTTTATTACTAATTATAATTAAATTTTCTCTCATCGCATCTACTAATTGGAACATTCACCTTTAACTCTTTTATATTAAAATAAAAGTTGAAATATTAAACAAACGCATTGAAACGAACAAAACTAAAATTTATTATTCTCTCGTTAATTTAAATTTCATTGTGTATTTAATTCTATAGATAATAATAATTATTATTTCCTCTCTCTCTCTCCAATTAGAGTTTATGAAGCCAACTATAAAATCTACGCAGACTTATACGTATATGATAATTAGAAATCTTCATTGAAATTGTATTACATTGCTATATCAATATAAATATGAAAATTACTAAAATTTCTTGTTTAAATAAAATAATTATCTACAGACGCTCCTCTGACGAAAAAATAACAAACGATTGTTGATTTAAAAAGAAAAAATCGTATTTTATTATTTTTTCCTTTATTATTGTTTTATAACAGAAAACACAATTAAATTTTAGTTTGGAAATACTTTGGTGAATCCTAGTTGGAGATAAATTTAGTTGACCCCAATTTTTCCCAAGTAGGGGTAAAAATAATTTTTTTTTGTCTCTTTTTACGTCCAGCATATTATTTAAATAATAATTGAATTAACTAAATTATTTTATTTCTTCATTTTTCAAACTTCGGAAGCCAAGTTGAATTTCCACTCGGGATATGTCTTGTTCTAGAAAAAATATAAGGAAATAATCTAATAAAATTATTAATTATAATAAAAATAAATAAAAATAAATAAAAATAAATAAAAATATAAATAATAAAATATTTAATTATAGTTAAAAAAAAATATATAATGAGAATAAAAATTGTCGTGATAAAAATGAGCAAGCTGTGTATAAATTTAGAGTGTACGGACTAAGTGCAAAGGAGGAAAAAAAATGAGAAAAAGAAAACGTACATTTGGGAAATGTAGAACTGGTGAAAAAAAAATAATAAACATAAAATGTCTGCATTAGGTATGAAAAAGGAGAAAACTTTTAACTATCTCATACATGAGAGAAATTTTTCATACACGTATTTTTCTTCTTCTTTTTTTTTGCTGATATTTTTAAGAGTATATGGTATATGAAGTAATTTTAAATTTTTAACACACTCCTTAAAATAAATTTACCTCTCGAGAGGATTTATCTTAATAGAGCAAAATTATATGGTGAATATCTCAATTGAATACTAATGGATATGAATTTATATATATAGGGGAATTCATCTCGATTTATCAAAAGAGAGTAGTAGTAATAGAAAGGGATGGTTATAGAACGTGGGCTTTAACATTATATATATACCCTTTGCCTCTTCGCTCTTATCTATAGGCACCAGACATGGGCCAACGTTTACCTCGTCTTGCTCATCATCCTCCCAATGTAATCGAAACCCTCGCTAATACAACTCATGATGGACATTGTAATTCCTCGAAAGCATAAGGCTTCCTTGTCAGGTTCAACGGTTAATTTCATCCATCTAATCCATCGAGAAAAAGGAGAAAAAAAAGAACAACCCCTCTTGATGTGTAAAAAATACCGTTTTACCTCACTTCACTAAAAATTAATCAAGTAAACTAATACTAAAATAATATAAAATAAATCAATAATAATAAATTATTTATTTTTCTATTTTATTATATAATAAAAAATAAAAAATATCATTTTAGTTCAGTTCATTAAATTAATCAAGCAAATTTTTTATTCAGTAAATAATTAAATGTCCAATAAACCTGTTTTTATTAATTTCAGGTTCAATTAGTTTTTCATATTTTCAAATTTATAATTAAATAATTATACATAAACGTTCATAATGCGAGGAAATATTCTTATCTGCTAGAACATTTAAAGTTTAGTTCTACGTAATAATATTTTATGGATCCCGCAGTAATTATTTATTCAAATTTTTATTTGTCCTAATTAATATTTGCCTTACGTTCACCAGGGATATCTAAATTGTTATAAAAAACGAAAACTACTATATGATAAATTTATATCTATTACACATAGAAGAATTGAACAGCGTGACTAAATAGAAGTAGTTAAATTATTAGTTTTAAGGAAAAATATAACATTTAAATGTTTAAATAATAAAGATACAAAGTTTATTTTCTTATCTATTGACTTTAGTGGTATAATTAGAAATGCTGCATATAAAAGCGTGTAGTCAATTCTTAAATATTTCTGCTTCAAAAATTTGAAACTAAACTTCAAAGTATTAAAACAATGCTGCGCGTAATTTCCCTTCTTTTTGTATTTATTGCAGTTTCAAATGTAAGTTAACTTTCTTTAATTTTTAATTTAAAAAAAATTTCGCAAACCATTGTTAAAAATTTCTGAACCAAAAATTAATTTTAAAAAAAAATTTCACAACCAATGCTAAAAATTTGTGAACCAAAAATCAATTTAAAAATAATTTCGCAACTATAATGCTAAAAATTTGTGAACAAAGAATTTATTATAATAATATATTATTAATATATATAAGAAGTTATCAATCCTCCAAGTCAATCAATATAATTAAATATAAATAAAATTTTTTTTTTTTTTTTTAATTTTAAATTAAATATAATTTCTCCAAGTGATAAATTCAATAATATTAAAATAATATATTATTATTTTATATTTTTTAATAATATAATTATTCTTATATTATTAATTATTATTAGTTATTATATTTTTACACCCAGAGAGAAAAATTGTATTTAAATCAAATATAATTTTTTTTTTTGCGCTAAAAAAAAGAATATTTGTCTCAAAGCCAACTAGATTAATTATTTGTTAATAAACATATATTCGAAATAAATAAAACTTTTATTTGGAACAAAATAAAATTTTATTCAAACGAAATAAAATTTATTTGAAGCAATTAAAAAGTCTACTAGACTTTGACAAAAAATATATCTTTTTTCTTAGTGTACTATTAATGTTTTTTTTTTTTTTTAATAATTCTGTTAATTTACTATTATTAACATTATTGATGTATTCCTAATTTTCTGGTTAAAAATTTTTTAATTCAAAATAAAAAAAATTTTTTTTAGGCTGAAGAACGAAAGGTAACTTTTACATCAGGAAATATAATTCAAGGCAAATTTGCCGAAGGTGTAAAGATAACAAAAAATAAGCAAGGCCAACAGGAAATTGAGTGGAATGAAGAGTTCGGCAGTAAAAATCCGTTGACAGTAAGTAAGAGACAAAAATATGTTTAATTTATTAAATAAAAATATTCACTATTACAATAAGTGGATAAATTAGTATGTCAATATAATAATTATAAAAAGTTCTTTTTTAAATTTCTTTAAATAATTATACAAAATAAATGTTTTTTGATAAATTACTAGTTTAGTAAATATAGAAATGAATTTAATTAATATAAATAAAATGTCCAAATCTAAATTAGTGAAAATTAAACCACATAGTAATAGTAATATTATTGGTAATTAGTAAAAATTAGGCAAAACTAATTTACAATAATAATATTTTTTTTTCACTTAAATTTTAGTACAAAAAATAATAACAACTAGTGTCAAAAAATTAGAAATATTATTATTATTTATTATTATTATTGAGGGAAAACTAAGCTTCTAATTTACAATAGTAAGAATTTTTAGTCATTTGTTACATAAACTTTAGTTAAAAATTATTAGTCTTAATTAATAGTTATTATTAGTTAGAAATATAATTTGTAAACATTTTTTACTAGTTTAGAGTTATTTTTAACTTAAATTTTAATAACGAAAATTATAGCTACTATAAAGAAAATAGTAATAATTCACTAAAAAAAATAGTGAATAGTCTGACAAATGAACATTTTTTTCTAAATTAGTTGGAATAATTATGTCAAACTAATTTTTTAATAGGTTTACCTCTCACATATTTATGAAGATACGTCAGTTCTGGAAGTAGTTGAAGTCAGTGATTTGTGTGCAAACTATGAGACAGGATCTTTTCAGGATACAGTTAAATATTTTTTTCTAAGAAAATTCAGAGGTACTAATCGATGCCCAGTAAAGAAGGTAAGATAAACAAACAAAAATTCTATATATCTCAGTGATTTTTCTTTTATAAAATGTCAATAAAAATAAGAAAAAAAAATGTTTCTTTTTAGGGTAAGAATGTAATTAAATATCCTATGATAAACTCGTACGAAGCAAAAAAGGGAGCTGTTACTTGTGGACCAATTATAACAACAATGCATGTTGTTAAAAATAAGAATCCAAAAACTGGTGAAGCACCTTTGTTATTTACTGCTCAATTGAGAGGAGCTATATCTGGCGCCAATTGTTAGTAATATAAGAATTAATATTTTATTTTGATTTTGTATTACCAAAAAAAAAAAAAAAAAAAATTAAATAAAATAAAGAAAATAAATTGTTTAAAAGTTCTGGTACTGAGTGATTATAATTTTCATTAGACAATATTTGAATCCTAACACAGAAAAAATCTGAACTCATTTTTGTTGTTTATCATTTTGAGTTCTGTATAAGAATTACTGTTAACAGTAAATTTGTTAACAGTAAATTAATGTTAACAGTAAACTTCCTTACATATACTTTGAAAGCACCAAAAATTTTAATTAAAAACCTTAAAATCTTTTTCTTTTTCTGACAATAATTGATCTCACAATACTGAAGACAATAAGATTGAATTTATTTGAATTTATTTTATTCACAGAGTTGCCACAAAAATTTCATTTTTTTTTTTACCTGATTAGGAAACTTTGACTTTTTTCCTGACCTTAAAAAGAATATATTTTGATTCACTCTAAAAATGATTAAAAATATACAAAAAAATGTTTATAATACATTCATTTCTGTGAATATCTTTAAAATTGTAAAATTATTCGAAACATGAAATTTTTTTTTTTTTTTTTTTTATAAATAGTTAATCATTATTATTATTTTTCCATAGAAATGAAGATTTTCAAAAACTTGAAATTTCAAACTCTTTAAAATTCGATAATTTATGAAATATTGCTATACTGTAACTATTTTTCAAAATTATTTTGTAGATTTATATTAAATTATTATCTTAACATTAAAAGATATTGTTTTGCTTAGATTTGGAAATATTATTTTAAAAAATTAATTTTTTATTTTTCGTTACTTTTTGTAAATAATAACAGATTCATGAATATCTTTTGATTTAAAATGGAGACTCTACTCTCCACCTGCGAGCGTCAAGGTCACCGATAGATGTCAGTTCAGTTGCTAAAAACAAATTTCTCAAGTGGAGAAATTAAATCACCATTTCCTCCCTGAAAAGCTTTTCTATAATTAAAAAAGTACTAAATAAAAATAAATTAATTTTTTTTTCAGTAGTAGTTTTGATGTATTGTTTTTCATATTTCATTCGCGAAAAGTCAGTTAAAATTAAAAATTAGTAATCAAATATTATTAAATTATTTTTAATTAGTAATTAAATATTAGTATTCATATTCAAATTTAGAAAGTGAATATATAAATAAAATGACAGTTCAATTTATTTTATTAATTAAATTATAAAACATCTCGAGGGATTTAATATTAAATTTCAAAATTAGTTTCTGAAATAAAAGAAATGATTAAATAAAAGTAGAAAATGACATCAAATTTTCGTAAATTTTTCGAGAAATTCTTTTAAGATATAAATAAAAATAAAAGTAAATAAAAAATTTTTTTTTTTCGTAAATTTTTAAGTAAGTTTATCCGCCAAAGCGAAAAATATTTTCACGAAGGAAATAAAATTTACTAAGTAAATAAAATTGTTTTGTGGTAAGGAAATTTATTTATTAGAAAAACTGTGAAATGAATTATATTAAATATGACAATATTTTTAATTGATATTTGAATTTGTAAAAAATTCTTTAAGGGCATTTGAAATCCTATGATGTCACAATAAAATTGTTCAGTCATAAAATAGTTAAATTGCCCTTAATATTAATTAAGAAAATTTTACTACTAAATTTAAATTTTCAGTCCATTTTTGGTCTTAAAAACGAGCTTAAAAGTTAAATAAAAATTTAACCATTAAAAATTTATTTTCTACAATGAATGAATTAAAATGCAAAAGTTCAGTTACTAATTCAAATTAGTTAAAAATTTCAAAATTAATTCATAATTTATGATAAGTATATAATTGATTGATAAATTATATGCTAACATTCATCACCATTTATAACACCTCTGAATAGAGCGCTTAATAACAAAGGTGCTTCACCGGTTTCTGGATCTTTATTCCTTACAATGTGAATTGCAGCAATAACTGGTCCACATGGAATAGCGTCTTTATCAACATTGTGAGTATTAATTAACGGATATGAAATTATTCCCTTACCCTAAAAATTAATATTTTTTTATTCTAAAATCAAAAATAACTTTTGAAACTATTAAAGATATACGATTTTTTTTTTGGGTTTCAAATTAAGACAAAAATTGTACCAAAATTGTTGTATTTTCGTCTCGTCAATTTGAAAAATTGGGATCAAAAAATAAAATAAAATTTCAATTTTTACATACACTGTTTTTTTTATGTATATTACCTTCTTTATTGGACATCGACTAGTACCACGAAATTTGTTTAATATAAAATATTTAACAGTTTCTTGAAAAGATCCTTTGGGGTATGTACCACACAAATTATCAAGTTCAAGTGCTACCAAAAGTCCAGTGTCTTCATAAATTTGAGAGACGTAGATCTGATAAAAAAAGGATAATTTTTTTTTACATATTTTTTTTTGCTTTAGTTTTTATATCTTATATTAAATATTTTTAACGAAAACTCACTGTTATTAGATTCTTATTATCGAATTGTTCTGACCACTCGATTTCATGTTGGCCTTCGTTATTTTTTATTACATTTACACCAGTTGCTAATTTGCCTTTAATTATATGTCCCCAGGTAAAATTTGCCGTTCGTTCTACAGCCTGAGAAAAAAAGTTAATTTTTTAATAGAAACATAACTTTTGGTTAAAAAATTTATTAACTGACAAGTGTTATAGTTTTTTCAATTTTCCTTTTTATTTTTTACTTTTTTTTTAAAAAAGAAAATTACATTTACTAACATTTGAAATTGCGATGAGAACAAAAAGGAGAGAAATTACTTTCAACATTATTGTAATTTAGAAATTAATTTTTAATTTTTATGGTAAAGTGTATATTTATCAGTTGTCGGTACGCTTTTATAGCATCTATTTTGTACCGGTTTCTTGTTTTCTTTTTAAAAAGTTGATAAGATAATAAAATTTCTATCCATATATTTTAAACAATTAATATTTCTGATCTTCTTCAAGGGGAGGGTACAACAATCTATTTTTGACTATATCAAGAAAATAATTTCAATATTCCATAAAATTTTTTTTATAGTAAATTTTTTAAAGAAATATAAAAAAATAAAGTTTTTTTTTAAATGCTTAAAAAATTATGAAAATAAATTTATTTGTGGATTGAAAAACGTATTTTTTTTTATACAAAATTACCGATGGATTTTGAAATCTGGTAATTTTTAAGAAAGATAAGAAATCTAAAAGAGTAAAAATATTTTCTGACTTATTTTATTTTATGACTATTAAATTCTTCACAAAAATTAAATTAAAAATTATTTTGTGGAATATTTAAAATATTTTCTTTACTTTTCTCATTTTAATTATTATTATGGATTTATTTAATTTTTAACATTTATTATTAATAATAAATTACATTTTTAATTAAATTGTTAAGTAATAAATTTAACTCTCTAAATCCAAATTAGTAAAAATTTGGCAACTAAAATTAGTGAAATTTTCCACTAAATTAAGTTTAGAAAGAATTATAAATTTCTCTTTTTTTTTGTTTATTCTCCTTCACTATAATAATAAATTTCATTTTTAATGAATTTAATATTAACTAAATGTTAATAATATGTTAATGGATTTTTTAAAAAAATATATAGTAACAATTATTCTAATAAAAACAAAAGAAAAATCATTTATTCTGAAAAATAGAGGAAATTCATTTTCTTATCTTTACATGACAGAAAATGAAACCGGTACGATTAGAAGAGCTACAAAAACCGGTAGTGACTGTAAGATATATGTATAATAATTTATACCTAACTTTAAAATAAAAATTTACTTCAAAACTTGAAGCAATGTGGCAATTCATGTTTCATCTTTTTCTACTCATCGCAGTTTCCAATGTGAGTTAGATTTCATTTTTTTTTTGTTTTACAATCAATTTCTGAGTTTGTATATATATATTTATCGAAACAAATTTATTATTATTTATTATTATTTACCTTAAAACTAAATTAATGACAATTTTCGTACTTAAAATATTTCTTTCAATGCTAAAATTCAGTCAAAATCTGAATTAGTTTTAATCTAAATGATTCTAATCAAAAGTGGAATGTAAGACTTATTTTTTAAACTTTTAATTAAAAATTCATGTTTTTAATTTTGCTTTCTTTCTTCAGACTGCAGAACGTAAGGTCTCGTTCACATCAGGAGATATAATTCAAGGTAAATATACCACTGATGTGAGTGTAAAAAAGAATAATCTCAATCAACAAGAAATTGAGTGGAAACAACAGTTTGGCAGTAATAATGATTTGACAGTAAATATCAACAATAATTGACAAATTTTTATTCATTAAAATAAAATAAAAAAAAACCTGCTTAGAAATAGGAAAAATTAAATTACTATTAATTAATTAATTTTCTAGATTTATCTCTCGCATATTTATGAAAATACGGGAAAATTGGAAATATTTGAACTTTCTAATCTGTGTGAAGAATATCCGGAAGAATCATTTAATACAACTATTAAAAGTTGGGTGCTGCAAACCTTTAGGGGAACTAGCAGATGTCCCATAAGAAAGGTAATAAATATTAATAATTTATTTACTTTATTTAAATAGATAGAATAATTTATTATTCTATATTATTATTTTTAAAATTTAGCCAAAATAAATATTTATTTATAAAATGAAGATTTGCAAAAAAATATTGATGAATTAATTCTAGGGTAAAAGAACAATTACATATCCGTTAACTAACAAGTTCGAGGCATCATCAGGAAAAGCTGAAAATTGTGGAGCAATTATAGCAACGGTTCATATTGTTAAAAATAAAAATCCAAATACTGACGAAGCTCCCTTGTTAATCAGTGCACGATTTAGAGGAGTTATATCTGGTGACGATTGTTAGTAAAATAAAAAAACACTTTGTATAATTTTGACAAAAGATAAATTTTTTTATATATAATTAATTAATTATTAAAAATAGTGGATTTATAGACGCATTTTACTCAAAAACACTAAAACAAATTGAATTTTGGAAAAATTTTAAATTATTGCCTAAATTCAATTA